GGGGGGCTCAGTGTTACTGTTCACTTTGTAAGGATTGGTGAAAAATGGCCTCTTAAGCGTGAAATTTGCCTGGTAGCCTAAGGCATATAAGTTCCTCACTTGATATCCTTGCCTTCCAATAAGTAGCAGTGAGTTTTTCTGGATTTCTTTTCTGCTTCAAGTCTTCAAGTATGGGGCTTCATACCTTTCAAGTGGTTGTTTGCATCAAATGTTGCTTGTACTAATAACTTCTATGAAGCACATATACACACAAAAATATGGCATGACACAACTTTTCAAGAAAGCAGGAAACTTGTACACTCATCTACTAAAATTTTTAAATTTATTCATGTTGTATTTACATGTAAAACTTTAAATCAATGCAATTAATACTCTTTATTGCTATTATTTTAAATTTTTGAGGCAAAGACTTTTGAATTCAGCGAGTATTTGTAGCACATAGTATCGCTTCCCACGTGGACCAAGACAAAATTTTTATTTGTTCAAAGAACGATTAAGGTGAAATATGGTCAGGAACAGCAAATCTTTTTATGATGAAGAGATCCATTTTTCAAGTTTGCAGCGGAAACAAAATGAAAATATTCATGCATCATAAGTTGCATGTTTTGTATAAAAAAATTCGTTGTGAAGTTCTTACAATTTTTCTCACATTCTGTTGATTCTTTTACGCCAATAGTTTCATAATTAAGCTTTTTAAGTTTGTATTCTAGAATTTACCAAATTGGGCTCATTAGTCCTTGTGTTTGAGGACACGTACATCACATTTTATAAATTAAAATGAAAAACTTATAAATACAGGAAATAATACCACATAACGTGTCAGCCATGTGTCGGAGAAATTAAATATGTGACCTAGAGTGTTAAGGAGATGAAGAAATTGGATGTGTCACAAGAGTGTCAAGGAGTCGATGTCTTGTTGGACAGGGACATGGCACCCTAGGAGGAGGATCCATGGTTCCCACATTCTTAATGTTCCAGTTCATGTCAGTGGACAAGAAAAGGAAAATCGGTCAAGGTTTTAGGCACGAAGTCTTAACGGTTACTTAAAGACAGCGTATACCATTCATGGGATAGCATTCAGCATGATTATATGGACGAGATGTGTACGAATTAACGAAAAATTGACATAAATGGATTGCAATAAACTGATGTTTGCTGCTGAAAAGAAGGGGAAAACTGAACCTGGGTATATGAACATAAATTCCAATAGCAATATGTAGACTTAGTTTTCTTTTGATTGAAACTAGTAACTAATTAATAAATGAAGGAATATTTGAGCCAGTTTTAGCATCTCATTAACTGAATTATTCGTATCTTGTTCGAACATGTTGATTATGTGATGCTCTTAGTATCTGCTGAAGATATGTATCTTTTCAATTAATTCAAGGGATAAATGTATCAGCTTAGATAATTTTAAAGAGTTGTCAATGTATATCTTCTTAAAAAGAAGAATGAGTGTGTTGGTTTTCTGGGTTTTTATCAAGCTCATCTGAGGGATCATTTTTCGGTTTTCAAATCAATTGTCTTCTTTACTGGTTGATGGCGATAGACTCTGCTTGCCTTTGCCTATTGCATATTTGGTATCTTATCGAGATTGTTTATGGAGTGTTGAAGGTAGTCAAGTTTTGAAGTTCATTTCACCTTGTGTACCAAAAGACTTTTATGGAATATAATCTGGTTGATTCTCTCTTCTTTGTAATGCTTTCTTCATTAGGAGCCTTTTCATAGGCTTGAGTCACTGAGGGAATTTCTTCATTCAGCTTGACATGTGTGCATGTCTTAATGGTTCTGAAGTGCTTTCCAGAATGATGATAATAATAATGATAGTGAACTTTTAATCTAAAGAACAATGATAGAATTTGGAAGTTCATTTGGATTTTGAGGTGAGCGTATTAGATTTTGGATCATGCTACATGTACAAGCTTTTTTTACAAACTCTCTTACTCACTATTCACAATGGAGATGGGGATTACAAGCCGACGTTTTTTAAATTCACGTGGGGTCCGTTAATTTTGTAAGAGTGAGTACAATATTTTGTCAATAAGATTTTGTCAAATATCTTTATCCTTAGATTTTCGTGCATGACATTTTATTAGATTTATAAGAAAAATTGAAAGAGAGCCTAATTTCTCCTTTTTAAGTATGAAATGCTGATTCTTCTGTTGAGTTTATACAAGTAAATATTCATTTTAATTTGGGGGTTATTTTTCTCCCTTTTTAAGTGATGTTATTATCAAAATAAGTTATTTAGGCTCCGTTTGAGTCACATTAATAGGAAAATGAGGATGAAAAAGTTCCACATAAGAGATAGATTTTTAAATATGATGGTTTGACGTGATGTATAACAGTCATATTTTTTTATTTTAATGAGTGAATAATGAAAAACAAACGGGGGTTTAATCTCTTCTTTAACTAATAAAAGTGGAACCTGTTCCTGCATCCCTTCCCTTTGCCTGGGCAATCAAAACTAACATTATGATAGGAAACAACGCTTCTTCTCCATAGAGTTCAAATCCCGAAGGCAATCATCAAGTGAATTGTCTTTTTTGTGTTGGCCAAAGCTGCTCCTTGATTGCTAGGGAGGGGCTCGGCCTTTGAACCGTACGTGGGATGAGTTAAATCTTGCACATCTTGGCGTTGGTTGGAGCCCTTTCATGAGTCGGTCCTCTTTCTTCTAAAGTAGTGAATTAACGAATAAAAACTATCTGATTCTCAAGAAGTGCACAAGTTGTAAGATTTATAAATGGAACCGAATGGATCTTGGTTGTAGAGAGTTGGGTTGGGGCCAAAGAAATGCTATTTAAAAAAATTCTATTGATTCGACTTGGGGCCAAAGAAATGCTATTTCAAAAAAAAATAATAAATAAATTCTATTGATTTGGGTGGAGGCCAAAGAAATGCTATTTAAAAAATAATAATAATAAATCTATTGATTCGACCTTTATCTATTTCTTATTAAAATTATTCATATTTTTAACCATTTTACCTTCACAATATGGCCTGACATGCTTTGTACATGTTACTTTTCTCGTTGGACGACTGACATTACTGAAAGATTGTGGATGTGGCAGTAAGTAGCTCTTTTTTAAATATGGTAGATGGATAATTGGCACAGAAGTCCCTACCTTTCAATTGTATTGTGAAAAACATCCCCATCTTTCATTTTTTGGCACAAAACGTCCCTACCTTCCACTTTTTTGGCGCTGAACGTCTTTTTCATCAATTTTTGATTATTTTACCCTCCATTCAAATGAAATAAAAAGAAAAGAAAGGAAAAAAAATAAGAAACTAATTGCATTCACATTCCCAAAATTTCTAAAAATTGCAAATGGTAACTTAATAATTACCATATTAAATAAATTGAAAAAAAAATCAAAAAATTAAGAAAAAAATTTAAAAAATGGGTTGTCTTCTTCACCACACCACATCCCACCTCACGCCACCATACAAAATATCTCTGCAGAGCAAATCCTCCAAATTCGAAGCATCATTACATCTCTCTGCACAATAGGGTTTGATACTGGATATGAAAATAAAGGAGCTTGTACAAAGAGGGAAAGTGCAGAGAGATGTAATGGGGTTTCGAATTTGGAGGATTTGCTGTGCAGAGAGATTTTGTATGGTGGCGTGGGGTGGGGGAAGAAGATGAATAGTAGGGTGGAGTGGAGTGGGGTGGGGTGAAGAAGACAACCCATTTTTAAAATTTTTTTTCTTAATTTTTTGATTTTTTTTTTCAATTTATTTAATATGATAATTATCAAGTTACCATTTGCAATTTTTAGAAAATTTGAGAATGTGGTTGCAATTAGTTTTTTGTTTTTTCCCTTTTTTTTCTTTTTGTTTTATTTGAATGGAGAGTAAAATCGTCAAAAATTGATGAAAATGACGTTCAACGCCAGGAAAGTGAAAGGTAGGGACGTTTTGTGCCAAAAAATGAAAGGTATGAATGTTTTTCACAATATATTTGAAAGGTAAAGACGTTTTGTGCCAATTACCCTATGGAAGATTATTATGCAATTTGAGCAATAGATTGGAAAGCAACTCTACAATTTTATAAAATTAGTATTAAAAGTTTTCTAAACTATTAATTTTTAAT